GGCAAGTGGTTTACTCAGTTATTTTTAACCTATTCCAGATTCCAGATTGTTTCCTGATTATTGAAGTCACTAAATAGGTGACAATGAGTTATGTGTAGTGTTTCTATAACTGTATTAGATATAATATTGGTCACTCTAATATACTGACAGTAGGTTTGCAGATTTTTGGCATGGCCTGATATTCAATCATATGTAACACTTATAAAATCATGACCCAAATAGTCTAGCCTCAGCAATGCTGAGGTCAAAAGGTGATGATCCCGTAAGTCAAAATTAGTTGTTTACTTATTATACAAAGGGACTGTATACAAAGCTCATTAATTTCCCCCCTCACTCATCAGCTTCCCTCATGTCACAGTTATTTCCATGCCTCTCTCATCACAACCTTCCTTCCGAGGAGTGGCTGGTAGGTTTGAACCGCCAGCCTTCTTGTTAGCAGTCAAGTGCCTTAGCCACTATACTACCAGAGCTCTCTCAGAAGGAAGGTTGGGCAATCTACTTCCATGGTAATATTGCCCAAGTAAAGGGTCACTATGAGTCGGGCCCAACTCCATGGCACATAACAACAATAACAACTCATCACAAAATCATTCCTTAGCCTCTACCTTAAGCTCTAGTGGCTACTCCTATTGTTAATAACCCTCCATCCTTTTCCTCCCAATTCTATGTTAGAAAGCCCAAAATAATTTATTTATTTTTAAAAACTGGCTTTTTATTTTGAGTTCGTTTAAAAGTCACAAGACGTTGCACAGATCATATAGAGAGTCCTCGTAACCATCATCCATCTTCCCCCAAGGATAGCATCTTACACAATCATAGCTCATTGCCCAGATCAGGAAATTGACATTGATACATTGTATTAACTCACGTGGAGGCCTTATTCACATTTCACCAGTTTGTACATGTTTTCCAAGAGTCTCAATTTTATAAGGTAGAACCTTGTACCAAGATAGGATCTTGGAAGATGGGGGGAGAAGGAGGAGACCTAGAGTGCCAAACCAGACTCGTTAGCAAGTGGTGTAGGAGGAAAGAAGAGAGACATAAGATATAAAGATGTAAGTAACTTTTGACCCATTACAGTTACACTAACGTGTTCTCCTTACTTTTTGCCAAGGGAAAACCTGGTACCTCAGGACCACATGGCAGCAAAGGAGAAAAGGGTGACACAGTTGTACCGAGAGTTAAAGGTAAGTGTCATCAGTCGCCTGGCTCCCTGCCACTTTACCAACGATGCATGAACCATCCTGAATTACGTAGGAACAGTCCTCTTGTATTAGTGTTCCCTGTGACCACAGATTGATTCAATAACAAGGGCCCTAGGATTGTAGAGACTGTTTTAAAAAACACTCCCTGCCTTCATAAGGTCTTATGAATGATCAGCCCCAAATTCCCTGTCTCATATTTGAAAACATAAATGCTGTCCAGTCACCCACTCACATGCTCATTGTGGTGGACTGGAGTTTGAAACAAAGCCTCCTTTGACTTGCCTAGTGTTTCTTTGCTGTGTCATAGTGCCTGGCATTAGTCAGGAATATTTTGGTTGTTAGTGGCACAAATCCAGCTTGAATTTAAGGGGGAAAAAAAAGTAACTTACTGACTCATCTACACAAAATTTGAAAGGTTAAGTAAAAGGTTTGCACTGGGGACAACTGGATCCAGAACCTCCCCAGGTTCTCCCTGCATCTTTCATCTTTCATCGTGTCATCTGTGTTCTCTCCCATGAATTGGCTTTTTCTGGGCTGTGGGCTACCTGGCCCCAGGCAGCTCCAGATTCTTAACAACCAGAAATGAAAGAAAGCTCTACAGTGTCAACTCTAATTAGAAAAAAAAAAAAAAATCAAAAGGAATTAGATTTGCTTGGATCATGTGCCCAACTGGGAACCATCCTCCATTCTCCATGGCCAGGGGATAGAGCACATGTTTGGCCTAAGATCGGCACGGGCAGATGCTCTGATTGGCACCTCCACACACAGCCTCCTCCTGAAATGGGAAAAGGAACACTTGCCAAATATAGTGACTCAGTGATCGTCATCCTTCTTTCTGACTTTTGTGTGGTTGTCTTTGTGTGAATCTGGGCAATGGACACACTCATGGGAGACTCTGATAACCCACAGAGTCAAGGACATCGTCTTTTCTTTAGTCCTTTATCTACTTCACCCCTAGCTGACTAGGGCTGGGGTATCTTTTGTCCTCTGTTCCCAGGGCACAAAGGAGAAAGAGGTCCTAATGGACTCCCAGGATTCCCAGGGCAACAGGGACAAGATGGTCGGGATGGACATCCAGGAGGAAGAGGAAAACCAGGCTCCCCAGTACGTATAACTCTTGGCTGCTGTAGAATTTCACTTTCTTTTATAGTCACACAAACCATTCTCAATTTACCAAGGAGTAAATCAGTAGAGTGTGAACATGCTAGAAGTTGGAGCATCAGTGTTTGGTTCGCCAGTACATAAAGATGGCAGTGATAAAAGGAAGGGCATGACTGGAGATGGTCCCAAAGCAAGAGTGGTCGTTAGTCACAGCAAGACTTTCTGTCCCCAGACTTTGTATCAGTCTCATGGTGCTTGTGTCCTTCTGGGGCCCTTGTTTCTGCAAAGCCCCCAGTGATGTCAGGTCCTCTCTAGTTGGCTCCATAAGGTGGCGTATAGGGCCCAGGTCCTGATAATTAGCTTCAGTTCTATTCCCTGGTGAAGAAACACATGAGGGGAAGTAGCAAGGAAGAAAGGGTGCAGTAGTGGGAATCCACTGAGTTGATGTGTTTGCTAATGGAAAATGCCACTGATGAATGACATATGTACATGTTTCCTTCATGATTTGGGTGGAAACCATGCAGAGGTAAGGAAGGGAATAGGAGAAGAATATGAGGCGTGATCAAGAGTGTAGGAATGTGAAATATCTTGGGTAAGGAAGCTATTTTTGGATGCTTACAATGTCACAGAAACTGGGCTAGATTACAAGCCAGTGTGTGAGGTGCCTCTCGGGGGATCAAACCTCCAACTTTGTGATCAGCAGCAAGCGTGTTAACTGTTTGCCCCACGATTTATAGCAGTAGCCTTCTGAGGAGCGAGCATCTTTCCAATTTATGGTAAGGAAATGGGGCATAGAGTCTGCTGCTCACGGTCTCCCATCTATCAGGTAAGCTAAACAAGAATGAAAGGCTGTTTCTTACACAGGCTGTGCTGCCCACCTGGCGAATGGAAGACCACTGAGAGTGCTGTAACAGAGAAGGACCACCCTCTGGGTTTATAGGAACCCTTGAGGCAAAATACATATAAATGAGAGAGAAGCTTGGAAACAGGGTTAGATGATGTCAGCGATATGTCTATGGAAAATAGGGCCTATGGCAGATAGGTTTAACTTGCTAACTGATCTCTCACAGCTGGCAATGAGATGGCCTGTAGAAACTGCTCATTGGCGCTCCCCCTCAAGTGCCACTCAGGACATGTGCCAGACCTGCCATATCCGAGTTAGACCTCTGGCTGATGTTCATGGCCTCCTGGCCTTGTGGCTGGTGTCAGGCATGAGTGAGCTCTGCTTTGGAGGACAGCATCATTATTTACTGCCTTCTGCTGCTTCAGAAGCCACTAGAACCCAGGGGCACTGCTTGGGGATTGCCGTCGTGTACCAACCAACCTGTAAAAGACAAAGTGTGGTTACAGATCACGATGGGAGAGGATTTTCTATAAGATCCGCGGGATAGACAAGGGGATCTTCTGGATCACTGAAAGCATCCAGATATATCAGACCATTATAGACCACATGTGAGGCCAAGCCACTCAGGATAGAGGGCAGGACCCTCAGCTCCACCAGGC